ATTGGCCGTTCTCGGTTGGCGAGAGGGCGTCGCGGCCGTCATTTTTTTGCGGGTCCAGGCCCGTCGGCTTCGGTCCCAGGCCGTTTTCCTTAAGGGGAGGCTTCCTAAAGGGAGGTTTGTCCACCGCCGACCTCCCCCCCCCAAGAAGGACCTGACCTTGCCGGTGGTGCAGGTCCGGGGCGGGGGGGGGCGCGGGCATATATGGTCCCGGGCTCTGGGCCAACGGGCCCCCTCCCCCCCCCAGATGGTATGGTCCCAGGATTCCTCGCCCCCCCCCCAGATGGTATGGTCCCAGAGGACAACGACGACGACGACGACGACGACGACGACGACGACGACGACGGCGACGACTACGACGACGGTGACGCCGACGACGACGACGACGACCAAGACGACGACGACGACGACGACGGCTGCGGCGGCGACGACGCCGGCGGCGGCGGCGGCGACGACGACGATGACGACGATGACGATGACGACAACGACGACGACAAGGACGACGACGACGACGACGACGACGACGACGACGACGGCGACGACTACGACGACGGCGACGACGACGATGACGACGATGACGACGGCGACGACGACGATGACGACGACGACGACGATGACGACGACGACAAGGACGACGAGGACGACGAGGACGACGACGACGACGACGACGACGACGACTACGACGACGACGACAACACGACCTCTGAACCACCACAGCACCACACCACTTCCACAGGGGGGGGAGGGGGGCACCGCAGCGCAGCACCACGCCACGCCCACCTCTGAACCACCACAGCACCACACCACATCCACAGGGGGGGGGGGGCACCGCAGCGCAGCACCACGCCACGCCCACAGGGGGGGCGGGGGGGACCATCGCGCGGGGGGGGGGGGCTAATGGCATCAGCATTTGGTGGGGGGGGGGGGGGGGGGCAAGAGCCCTGGACCATATATGTGCAGGGCTGCCCACGGCGCGAGGGTTCGGTTCTCGGCCGGCCCCCGCCTCCTCCTCCACCTCCTCCCCCCCCCATCCTCCTTCTCCTCCCCCTCCTCCACAATTATTCAATATGAATATACTCTCCCTCTTCCCCTGATGGCGTCCGGGTGATAGCCGCGCACCCTCCGCGTATTGTTTTTTTACACACAGGATGCCCGGGAAATCCCGGGAAACGACTCTCGCTGAGGCGCCGGCGTCATTTTTTCCCAAAATGCTGCTCTCGCGCCGGCGTCATTTTTTCCCAAAATGCTGCTCTCGTTGAGGCGCCGGCCTCATTTCTGCTCCCGAATCCTTCCCCTGATGGCGTCCGGGTGATAGCCGCGCACCCTCCGCGTATTGTTTTTTTACACACAGGATGCCCGGAAATCCCGGGAAACGACTCTCGCTGAGGCGCCGGCGTCATTTTTTCCCAAAATGCTGCTCTCGTTGAGGCGCCAGCCTCATTTCTGCTCCCGAATCGTTCCGAATCGTGCTCCCGCTGCAGCGTGGGCCTCATTTTCGGATCGGTGCTTGGCCTCCGTCGTTCAGGATGGCGTTCTCGCCCCAGCGCGGGCCTTTTTCTCGCGCGCCCATCCGCCCGCCACCACCGCGCCGCACCGCCACCACCACCACCACCACCACCACCCACCACCACCACCACCACCACCACCACACCAGTACCAACACCACCACCACCAGCACCACCACCACCACCATCACCACCACCACCACCACCACCACCACCACCACCACAACCACCACCAGCACCAGCACCAGTACCAACACCACCACCACCAGCACCACCACCACCACCACCACACCACCACCACCACCACACCACCACCACCACCACCACCACTACCACCACCACCACCACCACCACCACGACAACCACGCACACACGCACGCACGCACGCACGTGCACCACCACCCACTACGCACGCGCGCGCGGAGCCACAGGTCCGCTACGACACGCGTCCGCGGATAGAGAAAATCAGCGCCATGGTAAGGGATGGGAGGGAGGGGTAGGACGTCAGATATGACGCGAGCGCACCTAGCTTGTCCTCCCCCCCCTCCTCCTCCTCCTCCTCCTCCCTCCTCCTCCTCCTCCTCCTCCCTCCTCCTCCCCCTCCTCTCCTCCTCCTCCCCTCCTCCTCCTCCTCCTCCTCCTCCTCCTCCTCCTCCTCCTCCTCCTCCTCCTCCTCCTCCTCCTCCTCCTCCTCCTCCTCCTTCCTCCTCCTCCTCCTCCCCTCCTCCTCCTCCTCCTCCTCCTCCTCCTCCTCCTCCTCCTCCTCCGCCTCCTCCTCCCCCCCCCACCGGATAACCCGGGCTGTCGCCGATTCAAAAAAAAACGGTCTCCAGGGCCCCCGCGCGCGCCCCGCGGCGCCCCCCGCGGCGCGGCCAGAGAGCTCCGCTCGCGGCGGCTTGCCAAAAAAAAGCTCGAGTCGAAAGTCGAAGAAGAACACACTGCACACGGCACGGCAGGTTCGCGTCGCGTCGGCCGGTGGCGACCCCGTCGACGGCGTTCATCTGCACGCCCGAAATGGGTACTGAAAGAATGGGTACGATGCCCAACAGCAGCTCTTGTTCATTCTGAACAGGACTCGCTGTCCACGCCGCCGCGGCCTGTGTCCATTCGAGACAGGAGGTCGCCCGCCCAACAGCGGCCGCTGTTGGTTTGGGACAGCATTTGCTGTTGGGCATCGTACCCATTTTTTCGGTACCCATTTCGGGCGTCCAAAGAAGAAGAACACACTGCACACGGCACGGCAGGTTCGCGTCGCGTCGGCCGGTGGCGACCCCGTCGACGGCGTTCAGCGTTTAGCGCCGCCGGCGACCCAGAATCGGTCGACGTTGAACGAGCTGACGCTTCGGGAACGGCCTATCGTTCAAGGTTGAACGATCCCTGCGGTGTCAGAAACCAGCGCCGAAGTCGACATGACACGATCACGCCGTAAACATAAACTTTTGGCGCTCCGCGCGGATGTCTTGGATCCGCGCCCACCCCCACCCCCCCTGGCGGCGCCTGCGGCGCCGCCCCTGGCGCGCTCCGCGCGCCAGGGATGAAGGTCCGGCGCAGATCCAAGAGATCCGAGCGGAACAAAAGTTTATGTTCATGCAGTTTTTTCCTCCTCTAGAGAAGCTCGCCCGGGCTCGAGGGAGATGATAGTAGCGATGGTGGTAGCGATGATAGCGGTAACCACGGCAAGGCCAGCGACGGCGCCGGTGTTGGTGAAGAAGATGACGATGATCATGTCCATGTCAGACAGACAGACAGAATGCCATACGCCAGAGCGCGTGGGCAAAAGGAAAACAATGCCAGCCAAGATTTTCCGTTTGGGGGGAGCAGTTCTTTGTCGGTTGATTCTTAATTAACACCGCGCGTTGCTTGAGGACGAGGGGGGAGAGGAGGCGAAGGAGGGGGGCGAGGGACAGACGCAACATCAATCACGAATATGCAAGGCTGCTGGCTCACAGACGCGCTGCATGATTGCTTCTTCTGGTGAGAAAGGCGGAGCGGCAGCTTTGTACAACCACTTCGCCCATTAATTCCTGGGCCAGCCTCGTGCTCGGATGCATGCGTCTGTGGCTGGCTGCGAGCTTCCTGGTTGGAACGTGAGGCGACGCAGAACATCGGAGTCTTTCGCTCCACATATTTTGCCACATCACGACAGTTGATGCCTCAGAAGTTACGCAGTACAGGGCTGTTGGCCTGCTTGTAACAGCACTTGTTCGTTTGAGACTCTTGAAATGCACGAGTGGGGCATGTGCAGGATTCGGCGTAGGCACCTTGCTCGTCATGAAATGAAGAGGATGACGATGGTCATGTTCATGTGTCGGTGACGAATGTGATTGATTGATGATTGCGGCGATGGTGGTGAATGACGACGACGATAGCGGCGGCGGTGCGGTGGCGTTGGTGAGGATAATGTTGGGGAAGCGTGCGCGCGGTGCAGTGCTGGACATTTGGTACACTTTCGATTGGAAAGCCATTGGTGGTTCGCATTTGTGCGTTTGACGAGCCCGGTCTTGAAACGACTCGGAATACATTGGCATTGGAACGACTTTGACGCGCGCGTGGCGGCGCGCGCGCGTGTGGCCCGCACGGTACTCTTCGATACGGATCTGTTCGTTGGGCGCATGCTGGATCAGCGCGGAG